CGCCCACACACACACACAGGGTTTGACCCAGACATCTGTAGTCATCATGACTTTAAACTCTGACTGACAGCTGGCGGGCGACATGCATTCCTTCAAGGACCAGCAGATATTTGACCTTTAAGATGGTACCAGGAGCCCCGCTTCAGTCCAGAGGAGCAGCAGTCTGAGCCTCGGTCCAGGTCTGCTCTGGTGGATTGACCTCAGCCTTTCCTCAATGTTGTGTTTATCTTTGTGTTTTACATTCATGTCTTCTTTTTTACTTTCAGAGTATTCTAAAGGTGTTTTTTGTCTGAGCAGTAACGTTATTTTTAACTCGCTTAAAGAATAGTTGTGTTTTTCTGCTTCCTGTTCAGGTTCAGTAAGAAGTAGAGGTATATCAGGTCCAACACCCCTCCTGGTTCTGCATCCAGTCTCAGAGGTTCAGAGTCAGGACACTCATGATGGCAGCTGCTGCTCAAACTGAACTAAAACTTCCTCATTCTAAGCTCCTATCAAATAGTTGTAAAAAACGAGTATCTTACCTGCTGCAGGTGGCTCTGTGAACACGCTCAGTTTGGAGAAATAAACTTCTCATTGGACTGATGAGCTAATGGAACATCTTAAAACAGATTTTACTGCAGTTTACGCCCTCCATATTTTACTGTGTGTGTGTGTGTGTGTGTGTGTGTGTGTGTGTGTGTTTTATTAAAGAGAAGTCTTTAGCACTTATTTTAGTTAATATTAGAGTTATTCTGATTGGTCGACTCACTGAAGGTTGTTAGGTTTGATTGAGCTGCACCTGGTTAGTGAAGTGTTCAGTTGGTCTGAGATCTGAGCTAGACTTGGAGCAGGTCCGTCATGATCATTATTTATTCTGGGGGGTTCAGACCAGGACTGAGGCCGGAGCCACACACGAGGGTGGTCTACAGGATCTGATGATCTGGAACTAACCTGGGAGCTGCAGCTCTCTTTATGGACCCTCAGCAGTTCTGTTCACTCAGACATTAGCTTTGGCTTTGAAAAGAGCTCAAAGCTAAAGTCCAAATCAAAATCCTGCTAATGTGTAAGCAAGATTAGCTTTATATTTTATACTTTATATTACCTGTTAGTAACTGCGTTAGGTAAAAACTCTTGATAAAACAATGTAATTAGGATAACAGTTCGAGTCCTTTGAAATTAACATTTGAAATGTTACAGAATAAAAAAACAAAAAGAAAAAATTGTGTAGGTCTTCTGGACAGGTTCTTCTCTAATGAAACATTTCGTCTCTTCTCCAAGAG